TAAATTTGTTTCCAAAAAAAAAAAAAAAAAAATTTATCTTTTCAGAATAGAATCCTCGGTTCTGCCAGTCTGAGTAGAAACAGGAAATCCCACCCAGGTTCCATGAACAATCTTCTTTACACTTTGATTCCGATGAAGCAGGTGGGAAAAGGGGACTTTTGAAGTTCTACTTCCTGTCCTCTGGCCATAAACTTAGATGTGACTCACAGCCTAATTGTGTGTGCAATTCTAAATGGAAAACCTGACTCAAGAGTAGGCCTACCGAAAACCTCAGATCCGCTTCAAAAACTCACCTCCAGTATGCGTGCCTTTCCCCCCCCAACGACCAGCAACACTGGATTCACTGCTCCTTCCTATTTTTGTCAAACTGATGGTTGCAAATGGAAACTTGTTTTGAATTGCATTTAAAATTTTTTATTAATTTTTTTTTTAAGAGATGGGGGTCTCACTGTGTTGCCCAGGCTGAAGTACAGTGGCTGTTCACAAAAGTGATCACAGTTCACTGTAGCCTCCAGCTCCTGAGCTCAAGTGATCCTCCTGCCTTAGCCTCCCAAGTAGCTGGGACTATAGGCACGTATCACTGTGCCTGGCTGCATTTTTCTTTTTGTTCTTCTTGATTGAGCCTAAAGATTTTTTTCCTTTGAATACTGACTACCTTCATCTTTTGTGTGAGCTGCATGTTTTAATCTTTTGTCTATTTCTCTAATAGGTTGTTGGTCTTTCCTGTGCTGATTTGAAAGACTTAAGTTGTTTAGATTTTAATCTGTTGTCTGTTATAGAGGTTGCGAAACCTATCTATGACGTCTTTTAACTTTGTTTATGGCAGCTTTCACTAGATACACTCAGAGTTTTGACACAGGAAGATGTCTAACTCCTTTATGGTTTTTGGGTTTTGTGGCTTACTTGGGAATTCTCTCACCATCCTATCATTATAAAACACGGTCCTTTGGCTTATTTTATAAATTTTTTAAAAAATAAGGTTGTTTATATCATCTGGATTTTATTTTTATATATAGAATGTGGTATGAACTCAACTTTCCCCCCATATGAATACCCAACTGGCCCAACACTATTGAAACATTATCTGATTCAACGCCTCCTCTATCATAAGATTATATTTCCACGTATGTAAGAGTCTGTTTCGGGACTATTCTCTTCCTCTAATCACTCCACCTATTTGCATGCTAACAGCATTCTGTTTTAATTACCTTTACGTTACGTTTTAAATGGACCAACTCCATCCCTCGTTACTGTTTTCAAAACTTCCTTGCAGACTATACTTCTAGCTGAACTTTAGAATCAGCTTGTCAAAGCTCCATGAAATACGATCAGTCTTCCTTTTGAGAAGTAGCCCTTTTGCAACACTGAGCCTTCTCATCCTGGAAAATCGTAAGGATTTTCCCTGCCTGTGGCTTTCTTTCAGCTCCACTCCTCATATAGTGCGTAGCAGCCACTCAAAAAATACATGTGGAATAAAAATAAGCTTCATAATTTTTATAATCATTTTACATATATTTTATTAAGATCACTGCTATAGAATTTACAGTTTTTGCTGCTACAATAAAAGGAATACTTTTTCCATTAAATTTCCAAACTGGTTGCTGTTGGCACACAAGAAAGCAACTGTTTTTTGTATGTTTATCTTTTTCTTTTTGAAGAGACAGGGTTTCATTCTGTCATCCAGGTTGGAGTGCAGTGGTATAAGCCTGGAACTCCTCAACTCAGGTGATCCTCCAACCTCAGCCTCCAGAGTAGCTGAGACTACAGGCATGCATTACTGTGCCTGGCTAAATTTTTTTTTTTTTTTTTACTTTTTGTAGAGATGGAGTCTCACTATGTTGCCCAGGCTGGTCTTGAGCTTCTGGGCTCAAGTGATCCTCCCACTTCAGCCTCCCAAGTAGCTGGGATTATAGGCGTGAGCCACCACGCCTGGTTTGAACTATCACTTCAAATAGTTTCTTAGTTCTCTTGGGAATCCAGTTCAATAATTATACCATCTACAATAATCCCAACTTAGTTTCTTTCTTTCCAATATAAATACACCTCACTTCTTTTTAAAAATGTTTTACCTTGGCAAGGCTTCCAGAGCTGTTAACACAGCACTGACAGTAGGCATCCTTGATTTTTTCCTATGTAATCTATTACATAAATTACATCAATATCTATGTAAGTAACGTGCCATTAAGTATAACTTTCCTTGTAGGTTTGTGATAGATATCCACTAGTAATAATCTACTTTTAACTTGCTAGTAATTTTTCCCCCTAATTATTAATGGGAACTGCATTTTATTTAATTCTCTTCAGCATCTATCAGCTCAATCTTATGGTTTTTCTTACTGTGGAGGCAGCCAGGTGTGCGCTGAGACTCCGGCTCCACCACCTGCACTGGCTCTGTGACCATGGCCATGAGTTACTTGACCATACTAAGCTTCAGTTTCTCCTGTCTATAAAGTAGGAATAATATCCAAGGCAAGTAAAGAGGTTGGCCCTGTGTCAATAAAGAGTGGACCAATAAATATTAGCTCTTATTAATAAGGATAAATTTCCTAATTTGAGCCCGTTACAGGTAAGGAACAGAGAGGATGGTGAGTAAACTCACAGTAAGCAACCATCAAAACTGGGATGGATTTCTAATGTTCACATTTCCATGGCTCATGAACCAATGAGGGATCAGGGGTGAGAGGTGTGAACTCCCTGTAAAATGGCACAACATTGTAAGTATATGTGCAGTTTCCTGGCAAGTTCACAGCTTTTTACAAAGGAGTCTATGTCCCAGAAATGTTAACTGTCTGAGGTGGGGGCGGGGAAGGAAGCATAAGACAATGGTTAAAGGCAGATTATCACCAAAAGTTAACTGCTGCGTGGGGGAAGCCAGGCACACGCGTCAGAGGACAAGGCCTCCCCTAATGCCTTGGGTTTCAGTAGATGGATGATGCAGAAGGGAATCAATCCCAAAAGAACTTTCCTGCCATTTGTCTTGAGTTCTCTTTCAAAAGTGTAAATATATAACCATATCACATCTCTGCAGAAATATACGGACAGACTGCTAAGAGCAAGGAAAAAAGGGCAAACACCCAGCACGAGGGTGCCTGGATGGAACGAAAGCTAAGCCTCGTATGGTTCGCGCTTTCGTGGGCTGAGAGAATAAAAAGATGTCACAGACCAGCCCTGGCTGGTATTTTTTGTTTAACTGTTTTTAAGCTAATTGATTTCAAACCAGTTCATCCCCTACACCTCTAGTACCTTTTGTCGCCAACAAATGGTGATCAGATTGACTCAGTGATAAGAAGAAAACTGTGCAGCTGGGCACGGCGGCTCAAGCCTGTAATCCCAGCACTTTGGGAGGCCGAAGCGGGTGGATCACCCAAGGTCAGGAGTTTGAGACCAGCCTGGCCAACATGGTGAAACCCTGTCTCTACTAAAAATACAAAAATTAATCAGGCATGGTGGTGCGCACTTGTAATCCCAGCTACTCGGGAGGCTGAGGCAGAAGAATCGCTTGAACCTGGGAGGTGGAGGTTGCAGTGAGCTGAGATTGCACCACTGCACTCTAGCCTGGGTGACAGGATGAAACCCCGTCTCAAAAAAAAAGAAAGCTGTGAATTGTTACGATGGACAAGGAGTGAGCAGGAGCAAAAGAAAATGTGCGGGAAACAGGGCAGACACTAGGTAGGGCTAGAGAGTTCCCAGCTTTTTTATAAAGGGGTCTATGTCCAGGAAGGGCTGGAGAAGGAATAGATGCAGATCCAAAGACATGGCCTTTGGACTTCAGGGACAGCACAAAAAGGCACCACTCCAGCAACACTTGGGTTCTTCGACTGTGCTTCAGGTATTAAAAATGATTGATATTAATTTTTTCTAAGACATGTTTACAGAAAAAAACTCATAAAAGTTCAAATATAATTACCTTTGTTTCTTTCTGTATGGGACTCCGCAATTTTTGTCCAGTTTGAGGAGTTTGGGATTAGGGAACACGACTCTACTATGCCAATATACCACTCCTCTAACAGGAGTCACAAAAACACTTAGAGAAAAGCAACAAATACCTTCTTACCTGCCTAGGTGTTCAGAGCTCGGGCTGACCAGGTACATTAGATTCCTGAGGGTATGCAGTGGTTGTAACTGATCTAAATTTACATGCTAAAAAAAAAAAAGAATTGGTTAATATTTTCAATTATTTAACGAAGTAAAAATTAGTTCACAACCTATTTTTCATACCTGAGAAAAACAAAGGTAAAGAATATTTGCATTCAGTTTCTTCACTGCTCGAGTAAATTTCTGCTTGCTTAGATTTTCGCCACAAAATTCACTGTAAAACAAATATACAATTTATAAAGTTGTATTTTTTTGAGAAAATTGTATGTTAAGATTTCCATTTACAGTACAATTAGGTATAGCACATACTCTGTGCCCTTTGACTCCTTAGTAAATTGCACTTAAGGACTTTTTAAGAAAACACCATTCCCCTCAGAGAACAATTACACTGCACCTATACACATTACGAAGGCACATACCCTTTGACCAAGCAATTGCACTTCAGGACATTTATTCTACACAAATATCTGCACACTAATGAAATGAAAAATGTACAAGATTATTTCTTGAAGCATCAACAGCAGACTGGTAAGATCTTGACACCTGTACAGAAAGGTAAACTATACAACTGTCATCTGCTTTATGCAGAATGGCAGTCAGAGGCTTACAACAGCCCTATGAGGCCCACAAGATTTGCACCCCATCTTCTTCTCTGCCCTCGTTATTCTATCCCGGACTTTGCAGCTGCCATTCTTTTTGCCCACAGCCTCTTTCCTTAGGGGTCCACACAGCCTGCTTACTCCCTCCCTCCCTCAGTTCCCCTATGACCACACACCTGCCCACTCAAACACAGCAAGCCCCTCTCTCACCACATTCTCTTTCTCTTACCTCTTTTGTTTTTTAGGCAGGGTCTCACTCTGTCACCCAGGCTGGGGTGCACTGGCGTGATCACAGCTCACTACAGCCTGTAGCCTCGATCTCCTGGGCTCAAGCGATCCTCCCACCTCAGCCTCCCGAGTAGCTGGGACTACAGGTGTGTGTCACCACACCCAGCTAATTTTTTTTTATTTTTAGTAGCAACAAGGTCTCACTATGTTTCCCAGGCTGGTCTCGAACTCCTGAGCTTAAGTGATCCTCCTGCCTCAGCTTCCCAAAGTGCTGGGATTACAGGCAGGCATGAGCCACCATACCTGGCCCTCTCATCCTGTTTTAATGTTCTCCACAGCACTTACTGCCATGTGACGTGCTGTTGATTTGTTTACTATTTATGCTGGGCCCTCCATGAAAATGTGAGCTCCAAGAGGGCAGGGATTATTTTTTTTGTCACCAATGTATCCTCCAGTGCTGGCACACAGTAGGTACTTCATAAATGTTACATAACTAAAAATTTTTAAAGCAAAGTGTATAACACCATAGTATAGCATACTACCATCTGTGTTTATTTAAAGGCAGAAGATGATGGCTGGGTGCAGTGGCTCATGCCTGTAATCCCAGCACTGTGGGAGGCAGAGGAGGGCAGATCACTTGAGCCCAGGAGTTCAAGACCAGCCTGGGTAACATAGGGAGACCCTGTCTCATACAAAAAAATACAAAACAAATTAGCTAGGTGTGGTCGCGTGCACTGTAGTCCCAGCTACTCAGGAGGCTGAGGTGCGAGGATCGCTTGGGCCTGGGGCGGGATGGAAGTTGCAGTGAGCTGAGATAGCGCCACTGCACTCCAGCCTGGGTGACAGAGTGAGACCCTGTCTCAAGAAAAAAGAAGAAAGCAAACTTTTAGTTTTTAAAAAAAATTAAAAAGAATTTTTTTTAAGTGGGAGAAGACAGTAATAATATGTTTATATATGCTTGAAATGCAATGATAGCTGGAGGGTAGTAGGAAGGTTGTAGTGCAAACTGGGTAGACTGTATATCTTTAAATTTTTTGAATTTTATTTATTTACTTTTGAGACGGAGTCTCACTCTGACACCCAGGCTGGAGTGCAGTGGTGTGATCTCGGCTCACTGCAACCTCCAGCTCCCAGGTTCAAGGGATTCTCCTGCCTCAGCCTCCAAATTGCTGGGATTACAGGCACAGGCCACCACGCCCAGCTAGTTTTTGTATAAATGTTTTGAATTTTAAACCATGGGAGTTTTTCATTAAGAAAAAAACAACAACAAACAAAAAGAATTCAGGGCAGGGCACAGTGGCTCACCTGTAATCCCAGCACTTTGGGAGACCAAGGCAGGCGGATCACTTGAGGTCAGGAGTTCAAGAGCAGCCTGGCCAACATGGCAAAACACCCCTCACTCCTAAAAATACAAACATTAGCCAGGCGTGGTGGTGGGTGCCTGTAACCCAGCTACGCAACAGGCTGAGGTGGGAGGATTGCCTGAAACTGTGAGGGGGAGGTTGCAGTGAGCAGAGATTGTGCCACTGCACTCTGGCCTGGGCGACAGAGCGAGACTGTCTCAAAACAACAACAACAACAACAACAACAACAAACCAAAGAATTCAACAGCTACAATTTAACATATGAGGATCTGCAGCAAACCCTCTGAACATCCTGGTACTCCCCTTTATATTCTCTGTGGTCTTCTCGAAGGCTTCATGTACAATTGTAAGATAATGAAACTAATCTGCACATAAGGCTTTTGAAATTAATCCCAATATTTCAATCTGACCTTCTTTGTCTTGATAATACTTACATTCTTATTTTTGGTTTACTGGAATAAATATGGACAAGATAGAAACCCAAAAGAGCCATGATAAAGATGACATTACCACCTTCAATTACTTGCCTGTTGCACAGCTTTTTGGGAAGATTTACATCAAGTATATGAGACAGAATGTTGACCAGCTGAGTTGCATAGCACAGCGCAGCACTGATGGTGTAGGCAGGGTTACTCTGCTCCATGTCTGCAGTAGGAAAACCACCACCATGTACAAAACCTTAATTCCAGCAAAACTACTAATGAGCCAAGAGTTTATCATTTATGATTTTATCACGATAGCACTGTTACGTTTTAGTGCTTACTCAATAGATGCTCCATGACCAGACATAAATAGTCCCTTATTTGTATTTTTTTTTTTCTTTTTTTTTTTTTGCTGAGAGCAATGTAACAGGGCAAATGCGCCTAAATAGACCCAGCATAAATAAAATTAAAGTCTGACCTGCGTGAACCTGATAATGTAATATCAAAACAATAAAGGCCCAACTTGAATGTCACCTCCCCAGAAAGGCCTCTCCTGACAACCCTACGGAAGAGTCATCCCTTCCTCTGTACCCCACCCCACCCAAGGATGCTCCCCTAGTTCCTTCCACGGCACCCACTCAATGGACAGCACCTTGATCATTTACTTGCTTCCTACCTTTCTCCCCTGAGAAGGGCAAAGGGCCACATCTGTCTCGGTCACCTTTTTATCTCCAGCACCCGGCAATGTGCATAACACAAAGCATGAGCTCACTAAATATTTACTGAGTGACTAAATGAACAATCTTTCTCCACCAAAGAGAAACTGCAGGGGTTTTAAAGGGTTTTTCCATCGGGGCCTTTCAATCTCCATTTAGGACTACTAAAACACGTTACAAAGTTATACTCTAAAAATACAGGTCTCAACAGGTGAAATATACTTCTTTAAATAATGTCTTCTTACATAAACAAGGCAATATTAACCCCCAAAAGATGAGACATCTAAAAAATGTTTTCAGTCCATCAAGTGATGAATAAACAACATGTGGCTTATCCACACATTGGATTTTTTTTCAGCCTTGAAAGGGATTGAACCCTTCTCGTTATCATGTGGATGAACCTTGAAAACATTATGCCAAGTGAAAGAAGTCTGACACAAAAAGCTATATATTCTGTGATTCCATTTATATAAGTTGCCCAGAACAGGCAAATCTACAGACACAGAAAGCGATGTGTGGCTGCCAGGAGCTGAGGGGAAGGGAGAGTGGGGGAATGTGACACTTTCATGCCATGGGGTTTCTGTCTGGGATGATCAAAATGTTTTGAAACAACACAGAGCTGATGGGAGCACAGTGCTGTGAATGTACTAAATGCCCCTGAATTGTTCACTTGAAAGTTATTCATTTTGTTATGTCAATTTTACCTATAACTATCTCTATAGATACATTTTAAAGGATATGCTGCTTCTCACCAGGCCCCTGGGTTGTTTTCTTCTCCTCCACCCAGCTGTAGTAGGCAGAGTAGTCCCCATTGTTAGGGAGGCTAATCCAAGGCCCTGTAATGCTGATGCTGGTGTCTCCATTGTGGTCGTCACAGACCCATCGTCCTGAGAGGTAAGTTGTCCTCCGGGCTTCGGCGAGCTTGCTCACAGTGCTGGAGGTCATGGCACTGTCACTCTCTGAAGACACATCTGCGGGGTCTCTACAAGTAGGAAGACACATACGGATTTCGAGAGAGGGTTTTAAGGGCATGCAACAGACCTGCGAGACGTGCTAGAACATCGAAAAGCTGCCTGTGAGCGTGGGAATTTTACATTACATTTTTATTTTTTATGTTTAGAGATGGGTGTCACTCTGTTACCCAACAGGGAGTGCAGTGACAGAGGCAATCATAGCTCACTACAGCCTTGACTCCTGGACTCCAGAGATCCTCCTGCCTCAGCCTCCTCCTAAGGAGCTGGGACTACAGGTACCTACCACATCTGGCTAACTTAAAAAAATTTTTTTTGTAGAGATGGGGTCTCACTTTGTTGCCCAGGCTGGTCGTGAACTCCTGGCCTCAACCAATCCTCTGAAAGTGCTGAGATTATAATCATGAGCTACCGTGACCAGCCAAAGTGCAAATATTTCAGTTGTGAGCCACCATGCCTGGCCAGGAATTTAACTGGAATATATGTAGAAAAGAGCTTGCCATCAGAGAGGAAGATCAAACCGGCTGTATGTGAGGAAAACGGAACCATGAGGTAGGGCTGAACATATTAGGTTCTCAAACTACTTGGTCTCAACACCTCTCTACATGCTTAAAACACTTTGGAATCCCAAAGAACTTTTGTTTATGTGGGTTAGATTACTGATACTTACTGAAGTAGAAATACTGAGAAAAACATAAATAATTCATTCAAAAATACCAATAAACCTATTATACATTTTTATGAAAAAAATCTTTTTCAAAACAAAAAATTAGTAAAGAGTGAAACTGTTCTACATTTTTAAAACTCCCTTTAATACTCAAGTCTTTCTGTTGTTCTTTCAAGTAAAAATAGCATCCCACAAAAACAGCAGCTAGTTCAGCATGCAGCTCAGTCTCTCAAGTGCTTTTCCTCGAGCCAGCAATGGTACTTCAGTGTGCAGCACAAGGGCCTTACGCATGCTTCCCATGCCACAGCCAGCCCCGTATTCACAGGTTCCATGTTTCGAACTAACCGAGGGCCGAAAATATTCGGGGGGAAAAAAAAGAAAATAAACAATAGGGCTAGGTGCGGTGAGACTCACACCTGTAATCCCAGCACTTTGGGAGGCTGAGGTGGGCAGATCACTTGAGGTCAGGAATTCGAGACCAGCCTGGCCAACAGAGTGAAACGCCATTGCTACTAAAAATACAAAAATTAGCTAGGTGTGGTGGTGGGCGCCTGTAATCCCAGCTACTAGGGAGGCTAAGGCGGGAGAATTGCTTGAACCTGGGAGGCAGAGGTTGCAGTGAGCCAAGATCATGCCACTACACTCCAGCCTGGGTGACAGACAGCGAGACTCCATCTCAAAAAAAAAACAAAAACAAAAAACCAAGAACAACAAAAAATAACAACAAGCCGCTATGATGGCTCATGCCTATAATTCCAGCACTTTCGAAGGTCAAGGCAGGTGGACTGCCTGAGCTCAGGAATTCAAGGTTATAATGAGCTATGATCACACCACTGCGCTCCAGCCTGGGCAACAGAATGAGACTCCCTCTCAAAACTCCCTCTCAAATAAAAAAGCAAAAAAACCAAACCCACCATAAGAAGTCACAGCAGGTACAAACGCACTGAGGGGGAAGAACATAGTGTGCCTGGGGAACAGAGATGTTCAGTGTGGCTGGTGTGTGGGATGCACAAGGGAAGTGCCAGGAGACGGTACTGGGGAAGCAGGTAGGAAGCAGGCAGACTGGGAAGGGCCTTCTGTGTTGCACCAAATTTAGATTCTGTCCTCTCGGGCAGGGGTTCTTCATATCTTTCCTTCTGCCACAACATACGTGTAAGATAACTGCTACCGCCTGTCACAGATAAGACTGTGGCCAGTTATGAGCTGTACTGCTATGTCTCCCTTCTCCCACAAGAAGTTGAGAGAAATGAAAACAAGAAATCTTATTAGAAGGATAACTTTAAAACCACCAATTTCTTTTAAAAAAAAATTAATGGCATATAATAATATACACTAAATAAAATATTAAAACAGCACAGAAATAGTTTTTTTTTCACGTTTTCTCTTCATGTATTTTCTTTTTGAAAAAATGTCAGCCTTACAGAAAAGTTGCAAGAATTTTAAAGTTTCCCTGTATACACTTTGCTCAACTTCCCCAAAGTATCAATTCAGGAAAATATTACACAATAATCACAACCAGATAATTAGCACTGCTACAACACTATTAACTAATTTATAGACCTTATTGAATTCTCTCCAACTGTCCTGCTAATATCTCTTCTGGGGTTCAGGATCCAAGATCACACATTGCACTCAGCTGTTAGTCTCCTAAAAACTTTCTATTCTGCTCTATTTTGAATCTGCCTTTTTATTTTTCTATTTGCCAACTCTTACTAATGACAAAATACTTTGAGTCAGAGAGCCGCTTCTCAAGCTGGAAGCAGCCGTCAGTCTTTTTGGTTTTTAGGAAGCCAACTCTGGTAACAGACTAAAGGACGGACTGGAGAGAATAGTTATGAAACTAGCAACAGTCCAGTGAGTGTCAGTTTCCAGGAAAAGGTGCTGGAGAGTGAGAGCAGTCAGAAGAGACAGGAAAATCCTCAATAGAGCAGTCTGGTGGCTTGTGGTTGAATAAAACGGAAGCCTTCGGTGGTAGTTTCCAAATCTGCTGACCAGCAGCAGCATCAGGGAAGTGTAAAGATACAGAAGTGTTACAAGATGGACTGGGAGGGTGGAGGGGTGCTCTCTGGAACCTCTATTTCTCAGATGAACAGCCAGATGGGGGAATCACTGTCCTGTCCATCCCACCAGAGGTTATCCATGCACTACCGCCTAAGACTAAAGTCACAGTATTCAGTGCTCGATAACAGTTAACACAATAAGCAGCAGTCACCAGGAAAAATCTAAGTCAACATGTAGTGCCCACGATATCGGAGACCCCAAGCTCCAGATGTTTTCTTATATATTTGGTCATGATTTCTCTGTGAAAAAGGCATTTTTAAATCTCCATTTATCAGACAAGGTAATCAAGATTTTGAGGTCCAAGAACATGCCCCACAACACACAACGAATAAATGGCCCAATATCGCCCATCAGATGGTTCTTTGTTTGTTTATTTGAGACAGAGTCTCGCTCTGTCACCCAGGCTGGAGTGCAGTGGCACAATCTTAGCTCACTGTGACCTCGGCCTCCGGGTTCAGGTGATTCTCCTGCCTCAGCCTCCCAACTGGTTGGGACTACAGGCATGCGCCACCACGCCTGGCTAATTTTTGTATTTTTAGTAGAGGCAGGGTTTCACCATGTTGGCCAGGTTGGTCTCAAACTCCTGACTTGAGGTGATCCGCCTGCCTCGGCCTCCCAAAGTGCTGGGATTACAGGCATGAGCCACCACTACCAGCCATTAGATGGTTCTTAATCAAGAGTGAGTCAGCACCTCATCTGGAAGCTCCAGGAGAGTACACAAGCCTGGGCCCCACCCCTCGCCTGGCTGCCTCCCCAGCTCTGTGCAGTGCGTACTGTTTGTTGAAGCAGATAAGACTTATGTTCCATCACTAGGAAAACCAATGACCCTAGAATAAGGCCCAATAAATGAGGTAATGACATACTTTAAAAAGTATTTGGAACTTGATCTATTCCTGGAGTCAAAAGACTTGCTTAATGTACCTCACACCAGTCTTTACTTCCTCGATTGGAAAAATGACAGAGGTGAGCTCTAATATATGGGATCGTCGAAGATTTGCCAGACGCTCATAATGACTTCTTAAGTCAATGGTCTTTTTTTCTACCAGGTCACCAAGTTTGCGATTATGCCTCTGAATCTTCTCCTTTTTCTCTTGGTGCCGTTGTGCTCGACTGTAAAGCTTCTGATTCTTTTCCTTGGTTTTGAGAAGGCCTTCAGAATCTAAAATAAATAAATCACACCCAACAATTATCTTTGCAAACAGTTCCTGTGTACTGCAGAGCTCCGCCCTGCAAGCACACGTGTTTTCCCTTGCAATCTAAACTGAAAGAAAAACCTCAATAAAATCAACTAATGTTCACTAAGTGGAAATTCGGAGAGTTTAGTTCAAGTAGATATTACACATAAAGCAAAGAGAATCATGATTAAAATGACTCTGGATCTCTATTTGTAATCACCATTAGTAAAAGGAGTCACTCAACGACTATTGAGTTTAAGTTTAGCACAGGAAGGACCTAATTTTCCTACAGTGCGCACCAAAGAATAGTCGTGTTGGGCAGAAAAGAGATCTAATTTAAGTTTGAACAACTTACTGGCTATCTGATTTCCTTACAAACTTCTTAGGTGTGCCTTGGGCTATCATCAGAGAACCCAGGTATAATCTCACAGCAGGTGGTCATCCAGTAGAGGAGAAGGGCAACAGAAACAGCCCAAGAGCTCTGCAAAGTCACAGTGGAGTGTGGCAGCCACCAGCAGGGTGGGTGGGAACATATCTGGTGAGGTATCCAGAACACACATGCCCAGCATTTTAAGCGCTGGTCACACAACCACGAGGAGACATACACTCGTCCTGTCAGACGTAGGTTCTTTCTGTGGAGTTCCTTCGGGTTCTGGATCTTACACCTGCTAGGGCTGCTGGGCTGTAGCTAAACTTCACTTGAATGACAAAAACAAGCTGTCAACTTTCAGACAGATACCTAGGAGCTGCTTAGGCAACTTAAACCCAAGTTCAAAATCAAGTTCATTATTTTTCCAGGAACATCTTTTCCAGTTTCCCTACTTCAAGATTAGGTTTGACTTGTCCACTGCCTAATCAACCCCTTGATGGTCAATTCCATTCCCAGTCCAAGTCTTTCTATCGAGGCCTTTCTTTTCATTCCTACTATCACAATCCTAGTTAACGCTCACCAACACTCTGCCTATCTCCAGCATGGCTCAACTCCAAGCCTTCATGCCCTCTTTCACTTGCTCAATCTTTACAAATTATAGTCAATGCTCAGTGTTTCTCCACTGCCTGTCTAACATAGAGCAAACCCCTCAGCCTCAAGGCCTCCTCCAAATTGGTACATATCCCACAGTTCCCCTCTGCATACCCTTCGCTCTAGCTGTAGTCAACTGCAACATATTTCAAATCCTTTCTGTAAGATGGAACCACCTGAATGCATGGATGGATGAATGCTGAACCAGTCATCACTCCCTAACTCTCAGGCTATCTATTTGCTCCTGTTTTCTAAATGTTCGAATTTTACTCATTCAGGGAGGCCCCCCTCCATAAACATTCCCTAGACCTTTTGCTCCTTGGCACCCTACGGTAACGTGTTAGGACTCTTCTGACGGCACATAGCTCTTGGTTCCTCACATGAGGTCCCACCGAAGCCTTGCTGTCTCCTAACTAGGGTATAAAAGGCACCTGATAAATGTCTGTGGGTCCCAATCACCCTCCCACCCTCTTTCACTGAGCACCACTGAACTTAGGTATTTGGTTGCATGTATGAGATTTCTGACAGTTTTTTATTTGAGATGGAGTTTCGCTCTTGTTGCCCAGGCTAGAGTGCAGTGGCACAATCTCGGCTTACTGCAACCTCCACCTCCCGGGTTCAAGTGATTCTCCTGACCCAGCATCCCGAGTAGCTAGGATTACAGGCACAGGCCACCACACCCAGCTGATTTCTATATTTTTAGTAGAGATGGAGTTTGACCATGGCTGATCTCGAACTCCTGACCTCAATGTGATCTGCCCGCGTTGGCCTCCCAAAGTGCTGGGATTATAGGCGTGAGCCACTGCACCTGGCCGATTTCTTACAGTTTTGAAACAACTATCAGCCAGGTGTGGTGATGGGTGCTTGTAATCCCAGCTACTTGGGAGGCTGAGGCAAGAGAATTGCTTGAACCTGAGAGGTGAAGACTGCAGTGAGCCGAGATCGCGCCACTGCACTCCAGCCTGGGTGACAGAGCGAGACTCCATCTCAAAACAACAACAACAACAACAACATCTCTTTGCCCTCCTGCTCAATGTGAACGTCCTACAGGTTCCGTCTCTTGGTTCCATCACGTGCTAACTCGTTTTCATTATCTTTACCGAGCTCTTTACAAGTGCTGAAATGAATCTATCCAGCCATGATCCTGAGTCATGCAGTGGTCAGAATTTTTGGGGAGGATCCATTTCAAATTTATTATCATGACCACTCGCAGGTGGCAGGAAATCATCAGTCACCCCATCTGCACTCAGTGCAGACTCAGCACCCAGTCATCCTCTCTCCCCACCATCTCCCCATAAACATCAAAATGTTTGGTGCTGTATAATCTACTCTTGCTTCTTTAGATAAGTAACTCTGACTACAGCACAGATCAACTCAACACTGCAATTGCATATAACCTAACTTCCCTATCTCTGCCCTATCTGTATTATACCATATATCATGAAATCTTAAGTCAAAAGATTCTAGAGAAATAATTCATCAGTCTCTACAATTTATAATGTGTGTCCTTTCGTGAATACATGGCGTAATTCAACAACAAGCTCTTAAGCATGAGTCCAAGCACAGTTTCTGGAATCCTTTAACACCTTTAAAATTGTTTGCAAATTTTGTAAGTCTGGTCTAGAGGGTGGGAAGGAGACTACATGTACATTCTAAAAGAGCAACTGTTCCCAACCCTGGCAGGTCATCAGAACCACGTGGAGTAGTACTACTCAAAGTGTGGCTTCTAGACCTGGGCCCATCTGTAAACTGTTACCGGTCATGAGGAGAGGAGGACAGAAATACAGAGTAAGCACATGGAAGCTATTTTCTTCAACATGGCGATCTGACATTGCCATAACATTCAAGCATGTGATCATCTTCCTAAGTCCAGGATAGATCCTAGGGTTCTCTCTCTAGATTTTAAAAGGGTCACCAGGTAACTGATGATTTGCTAGGGATGGAAACCACTGTTATAGGGTCCACTCCTTTAGATCTATGTCTAATTCTTTGTGGTGGTTGTTTTTGTTTTTGGGAGTTAGGAATGTGTTACAAAGAGCTGATCAGAGCTTTTAACTTGCTCATCAGAGAAACACACATGCTCAGTAAATTCAGCAATATCAGGAGGTTCACAGATGCCCGGTGACAAAGCCCTGAATATCACGGGAAGATGAGGAGAGGGTGAACTAATGTTAAGGAATGGGTTTTTATGTTGCTACTGAACCAGAGCCTTTGGAGAATGCATACAAGACTGGGTGGAAAGTAGGTTCTATATAGTTCTGTGCACTGTTCACTGAGCTGCCCTAATTGTCTAGTTTAGTAATCCCATGAAACTCCACGTGAGCACTTTATTAGGACAAATGTTTTCAGCGGAGGCTTTACACCATTACATGTCACTATAAAAGACTTGCTTCTGGAAGCAATGAGTAGACAAGAAACAGAATTCACGAGGTCTGATGGTGACTCATTCTAAACTTTAAACAGTGATCTTCAGAAATTCATGGACTGCAGCTTGCTGCTGGCGCTCATTTAATGTTACATAAACACGCTCTTTGAGTCTGAAGTAAATCTGATTTTCAATGTGAAAATAAAATATAAAAACTGTTTTTGCCCGGGAGGCAGAGCTTGCAGTGAGCTGAGATTGCGCCACTGCACTCCGGCCTGGGTAACAGAGCGAAAAAAAAAAAACAAAAAAAACCTGTTCTTGGAGTTATTTCTAAACAGAACTTGTCTCTAACCCTAATGTAACAGAAATGCATATGATGTTACATTAGGATTAGAAACAAGAGTATTCCTGGGGCAAGTGGGAAATGGGTTAAGGATGTAGGATTTCTAAGAGAATTCATTTTGACAACGACCTATGATAAAGTATAAAGTGTACAAATATGAAGTAAAATTAATACAGATTACAATGTGGAGACTCACTAAGGGAAAAAAACCAAAAACAACAAAAACAACATTCTGTGCTTCTGGCATGAGCCAAAAATTATTACAAGTGAGTACCAAGTTCGACTCTGAGCTTCCTGGTAGCCAAGGCAAATAGGAACATATATTCCTTAACTTTTTTTTTTTTGAGACTGAATTTCACTCTTGTTGCCCAGGCTGGAGTGCAATGGCACGATCTCGGCTTACCACAACCTCTGCCTCCCAGGTTCAAGTGATTCTCCTGCCTCAGCCTCCCAAGTGACTGGGATTACAGGCGCCTGCCACCACGCCTGGCTAAGTTTTGTATTTTTGGTAGAGACGGGGTTTTGCCATGTTGGCCAGGCTGGTCTCGAACTCCTGACCTCAGGTGATCCACCCACCTCAGCCTCCCAAAGTGCTGGGATTACAGGCATAAGC